ATTGCGTGACATGGGAGTTAAGCATGGTGATGCACGTCTTTGCCGTCTTCGGGGCCGAGAAAGAAGACGATATAACCAGCTTCTCATGGAGACAATTAGTAGAAGTACTTTGGAGTGGCTGCTGCTTCGGAGAACTGAGCACGCATGGGTATGCCCGATGTGCAGTGACATCAAGTGTGATAACAAAACATAAAATAACATCTTGTAGGGAGTCGGCAGTCCGAAACCCAAGTTCAAGGTGTCTCCTTCGTGCCAAAGAACTGCATGGCTGTTGGGTGAACAGGGTTAACGAAGGCAGGCAGGTTGTTGTAGGGGCGACGCCTGCTGGTGGATGTAATGTCCTAAATCCCTTCCCCAGCTAATAATGAGGGTACTGCTTGGGTGACCGTTTATTAACCCTCATATAATGCTTCAGGTCAAAATGGACGCTAGGCGCGGCCACCATTTTTTTTTTATTTTCCTGCCAGACGGTTGCTCCATTTGTAGACTGGAAGGATATAGTTTCGTCCCCCAGCTTCTGGGTTGAGTGCATGGCGTGACACTGTGAGCTACGTGTATTTTTCATTGGCACAGGAGCGGATCAACTATTAGGTGACCCGTTTGCTATGAAGCTGAATAGGATTACCAGATTACCAGATGACGATGGTGATGACAATGGTGATGACAATGAAACCAACAAGAAGGGAAATCCCAGGCTGCAACCATCAAATTGGGGGAGAAACAAATAGTTCATATTTTATTCACTAATGAAAACCTTACATCTGTACGCCCACCCCCTCCCTCTTTCTTTCTCTATGTAAAAAAAAATATATATATATATATAATTGTCTCGGTTATGCGACTAGCCAAACCGTACAGGTAATATCTGCTCCCTTCAAGTGCTCTATTCTCACCCAGTCTGCCAGCTTCTACTGTTCCCTTCAAGTGCTCTATTCTCACCCAGTCTGCCAGCTTCGACAGTTTAATGAGGCTCCTCTTCGCCACAATAAATATTTTCTAGACAGTGGGGTATGGACTCAATGGGCTTTCCGAATTCTAGTTCAAGAGCATAATAATAATAATACTGTCCTGAACTTTAAATAATTTTAAAACGAGCGCCTGCGCGCGCGCACACACACACACATTTTTGAAATAATATGACATTTATAAACATGAATACCTTTTTTTTAGATACTCTTAAAGAAATAATAAAGGGAGCTCTTTAGCCTCCTTACAAACGTGCGACCGCGGCTCAGTTAACACTTCCCCTGATCCACATCCAATCGGGTTTTTTTTTTCGGGGGGGGGGGGGGGGGGGTTCTAGTAGCCTGTGAGATTTTTAACCATTACCGTCCATACTTGTCGACACGGCACATTGTGCTGATTACTTCAAACTCTTCTTCTTCTTAGCGTTCACTGGCTGTAACCTCTGGCTAAAAATTCTGGCTGTTCGACCACTTCTGTACTCTGGTATTTTTCTAAGCACTTGAGTTGCACGATATTAGTTCTACAGCTCGCTTACTTTATGCAGACTGTTGGTTCCTTTTTTTTTAGACAGATTACTGCGACTTGGAACGAAAGACCCCTAAATGGTCTCTTTTGACTTGTAACAGGGCCCCACAACGGGCAACGCGAAACAAAGCTAAGGGAACACACATTGCGATAGGTTAGTTGCGTATCCTTTACAGGACGTTGCAGAACCAACCCCTGGCTGTTGTGTGGTTTTTCTAGACAAATATACGTCCAGCAGTCTGCCATTGCTTTCTGGACGGTCTGCTTTCTTGATACCACTGTCGAAACCAAGGTGCATGGTCCGCAGCTGGGATCGAACCTGGCACCCCGACATTACGAAGCGTTCGCATCGACTTAGCCACAGAGCCGACTTTATTGCTATAACGATAATCAATTTTATTTTTTAATGCCTAGTAGCTTTTGCTATAGTTTCGTATATATTTTAACGTGTAAACATTATGGTGTTTAGTGTAATAACAGAATTTGTTATACTTTAAAAAACAAAACAAAGTAAAACATTAAATAAAGCAGGAACATTTTTCTAAAAAAAAAAAAAACGATTAGTTCCCGTATCTTGTAGCTTTACATGATATTTTCAAAATGGTGAGCACAGGATGATTTTGGAAAAATAAATTTACAACTGAGGCTAAAATTTTTTATTTAACAATTTTTATATCGTATCTAGACACATCTAAGTGATTCAAGTTTTCACTTGTTATTAGTTTTTGTGTGTGGAGTGACTAACATTTGTTCGCAGCCTTCTCTATATATAACTTCACCGATTTTGGTTAGCGACTGTCGCTAGCTAGTTAGTTGCCGGGCCGGGTGGACTGGTTGTTGAAGACTACACCTCACCTGAGTTGATCACTGCATCCTGCCGAGATATGGTTGCAGCTGACTATTTTACAGCATCCTCTAAGTCTAAGTCTAAGACACAGCCGTCTGCTAATTCTTTATAGTTTAGTAAAGAAAAAATCTCAAGTATTTAGTCAAATTTAAGAGGAATACTACACTGCACAACATTCATGACTAAACATTTTTGATTTTCTGTTTAAACTAAAGTGTAAAGATTAAGTTGATCACTTGTCTTGATTTGGCGTCTGTCCAAAAGTTTTAATTCCTTGTTCATATTCACCAGCTTTTAACTCCGGTAAAAAGATGTTTCGATTGTTCAGTTCATCAAACTCTGGACTAACTTTACTTTTTTAGCAATCAGTCATATGATAGTGCATCTGCTGCAGGGGCACACAATCCGTCGTCTATAACAAACAAATACAAATAAATAAGCCAGAAATGTAAAATTAATTATTGTGCATGCAAAACTGAAGTTCTGGAACTTGTCCAAAAAAATGGATGAACAACCAGAACTGCTGTTTTATTTTTCAGCCGGTGAATGTGAATACAAATTTATTTTGAAGTTGTGACTTGGATGTTTACTTTTCATTCAAGAAGTTTAGACTTCACCCAAGGCTTCAAGCGAGCAAGAAATTCAAGAATAATAATATGTGAATACTTGCTCCACCCCACTTTTACTTTACAGATTTTTTATACCACATTCTTGAAGGTTGTCAATTATTTGTTCTCTGTAAGTAAAAATCCCATTCCCACAGAAACTTAAACTGTGCTGAGTTTATCATGCCCCATTTTTGAATAACCCAGTCAGTCAGCACTTGACACATGTGGCGATAATTTCATTATCACGCTGACCCTATTTACTGGCAGAACATTTTGTGGTAACTATTTGAGACCGCCAGTCTTGAAACCCCTGTGTGTATTCAGACCATGTCTACCTCAGTAAAGATGTAGATCTGTCACTGCCAGGTCAGTCTGAGAACCCCTGTGTGTATTAGACATTTTGTACCTAAATAAGGGTATTGATCTGTGACTACCAGCTCAGCAGGCAGTTGTCATTACCACTGTTATATCATTATCATGTGCCAATGCTGTAAGAAGTGTCTAGGCTTTCATGGTTCGCCATCTCGTGCAGTCACTCAGTAATGATGCATTCGTTGTGGCATATATGTGACCAAAGGCTGGGCTATGAATTTATTTAATTTGGTTGTTGGACTCCTTGTCTCATGCTCACAAACCAGTATGACCTATATGTTTATCTCTGTCTTAGGCCCGACGATATGACTCACGTACCACCATCTTTTCACCGGAAGGTATGTATCTTTAATTTAATGTGCCTTTTCTCTGTGTTCTTGTCAGTGAATAGTTTGAACATACTACTCTCACAGCTGGCGGCATCAGACTTGGATATTTATAGAATTGCTTAAGGTTAGAAGATTTCACTGACAGAAATATGTATTATGACTGAAATATGTGATGAGGAATAGAATGGTAGGAACTACAAGAGACAGTGTGTTATGTACAGTCATTGCTTCTAACAATGTGGATTCCTGCCCCCTATTGGAGAGGGGGGGGGGGACATACTTACTGCTCCCCCACAAAGCATTTTGTAAAAGGCTACTAATTGTGGTTTGCTGGTATTGAATGTGGGACCGATGTGTAAGATATCACAGATTAGCTGAAATCACAAAGCTACTTTCCAACCACCATTTAAACTCACAGTGCCAAACAACGCACCACATGTACCTCATATTACTCATGTGCACCAGTCAACGTGTTTTGTATATCTGTACGTCTGAAGTTGAATGAGGTGAACTAAATCAACCCATCATTGCAAGTCAGCCACAATGTGCTGTGTATTGGAAACCTGCAGATGCAGTATACCCATGCTGTTCTGGTTATTGCTTCAATCATGCATCAGAAATGATCTGCCAGGACTGAAGGAGTTTATAGTGAACCCAGAGAAAGCTCCAAGATAATCTCATCATGTAGCAGGTCTTTGGCAGAACGTCCCTCTCATCACGGTCTGCCTGAAAGAAAATCTGTCTCTAGCGAGCTCTCCCACCCCATGTACTTTCATACTCAAGGAGTCATATCATGTGCCCATCTTCATGCTGGTTAAGCCCCTGCCCCTCCTTCCTTGGTACCATGCCTTCTGCTGTTTTTTCCAATCTACTATGGCACTTGATATGACCAAAATATTTTAGCTTTCAAGACAAGATGCTGTTTATTAGCCAGTCTTCCCTGGCTGTTCAGATCTGTTGAAATGTCAGTATTTCATCTCTTCTTTGTCCATGGTATTCTGAGAATCCTTCTATAGCAATCTATAGAAGCTTAAACATTTTTCATGTACATATATGTAATGAGCTCTTATCTCCTTCATGCAGATTGATAACCTCAGCATATCTGGCAACAATGACCCTCACATCCCATGCACTCATTGGGCAAGATTTTTCCTAACTTTAGCTGGTCTTGTTAGTTGCCGCTCCCATGGGCTGTGATATCCATGCTTTCATATTCCAGTTTGTAATACATAAAACTGTCAGAATGACAGACAGAGTGCCAACAAGTAGATGGATATAGCCCTTCTGCTCCAGCGGAAAGACTAACACCTCCAGTTCTCTCCCGCAGGTCGCCTCTACCAGGTGGAGTATGCTATGGAAGCTATAGGTCATGCTGGAACATGTCTGGGCATCATGGCCTCTGATGGAATCCTCCTGGCTGCAGAGAAACGCAACACAAACAAGCTCCTAGATGAGGTTTCCTATTCTGAGAAAATTTACCTTCTTTATGAGTAAGTTTCATAGTTTTAGATAGACAATAACATTTTTATAACTAAAGTTCATTGTTTCATAGCTTGAGATTTAATACCTTTGTTGTGATAGCTTTCATAATTTCAGAGACACATACCTTCTTAAGAGTTAAATTTCCTGGTTTAAGACAAAAATACCTTCTTAAATGTCAGTTCATTTGCAAGGAAAATCTGTGTTGAATTAACTGAGTATAAATCAGATTCAAAGCTTGTGACAAAGAAAGTCTATGATTCTGACTAAATCTCTTAGTTTGCAGATATGTTCACTCATTCTGTTCCAAAAATAGTAGTATATGTGTGATCGGCTGTTTCAAATACGTTCATGTGTATCCACTATCGTATCATGTGTGAATGTTTATTTGGTCAGAGCGCTCTTCAGAAATCTGGATTTTCCACTGGCTATTTTCATATTCTTAAGGTCTCTTTCTGAAAGAGACTTATTACATGAGATGTGTTTTATCCTATGAGAGTGTGTCTTTTGCTGTTACTCTGTTATACATTTCTGTTTGAATTAATTAAGTAACATAAAGTGTATTGATCGGCACTCATAGTAAGAAGTAGTGAAAGCTAAACACTAGACTTAAAATGGAAAGCTTGTGCCGAGAATGCTAAACACCTCCAGGGGCGTCTGCGATTCTAATGAACCCCTGGGCACTAAGAACATGGTCAACAAGGCACCCCCTGTCTTATTGCCTGTGATCGCAACTTGAAACCCCGACTGGGCTTGTGATTCATTTCAAACCCCCTGGGACTCAAAGTTTAATAAATTTCTTTCTGAAGCATATGTCGAATAAAAGACAGCAACAATTTACATGACAGTGACCTTAAAGTTTGTCTATACACAAACATTTAAGAAAGGTATTTGATTGGTAGGTGCATACTTCTTAAATAAACAGCCTGTATTTACTTTCTGTTTGTTGTACAATTTCTGTTTGAAAATATTTTAACAACTGAGCATTTATTCTTTTGTGGAAACTGTTTATCTTGAAATGTTTGACACACAGTCTCATGCTGCTGTTGATGGCTGTTGATGTGTGTGGTTGATAAATGGACATGGGAACTCAACTATGGCATTGTGTTGGTTTTCAGGGACATGGCTTGCAGTGTGGCAGGAATCACGGCCGATGCTAATGTCTTGACAAATGAGCTTCAACTGATAGCTCAGAGGTAGGCAGGTGTTTGTTGTAGTCTGACTGTTTAGTCTAGGTACAGATGTTTTGTAGTCTGACTGTTTAGTCTGGGTGCAGGTGTTTGTTGTAGTCTGACTGCTTAGTCTGGGTGCAGGTTTCTTGTTTGCTGCTAGTCTGACTGTTTCTTGTGGCTGACTGCTTACAGGTGTTTCTTGTGGTTGTTTTAGTAGGGTGCTGGTGTTTCTTGTGGTCTGACTGTTTAGTTTGCATACAGATGTTCATATTTAACGTCAGTACGTTTGTGTCCTGCTGAATGACTTTGGTAAATGTGTTATCATTTCATATTATTGTTACTTTGGTATACATGCAATTGTCATTGTTCCATGTATATAAAAGTATAGATTTGTTATTGTTCATTTGTTACTATTTGGTGTGTGTAGATGTTGTGTTTGTGTAGTTTGACTTCTTCTGTTATACACTATGAGTATAAGGTTGACAACAATGCCATCACTGTTTGTGTTTCAAATGACCATCAGTACAGAAGCAGAATGTTAGCTAATTCAGGTTAGCAAGAATTATTCACATCAGACCATTAGTGAAAATTTCTACTTTCATTGGCGATAAACATCAGTTCTGATGGCAGAATGTTTGTTTTGCCATTCTGGTGTCTGCCATATGCATTCAGTATGGGGGAGAGGGCAGAGAGAGAGAGGCTGCTGGATTGGCTTTGCTCAAGCTGCAGTTTTGTTTTCACAGGGGATGGTGATGGACATTCTGTGTGGTTTGTTGGTGGCACAGGCAAGAATGGGGTTGGGATGGAGGTTACTGGTCTGTAGTAAAGCTGGAACTGTGGTTAACCACTTAGTGGATATTTGTGCCGTTTTAGGGAAATATTGCCGTCAGGAGATTTTATATGAATTTGTAGTTGAAAGGTTGAAGGTTTGCAAGTGTTCTAACTACACAGTTAAAGGGTCATATCTCTGTTGCAGGTACATTCTCCAGTATCAAGAACCTATACCTTGTGAACAAGTAGTGTCCAGCTTATGTGACATCAAGCAGGCGTACACCCAGTTTGGAGGTTAGCTTGTAATGTGGGTTTTTCTTGTTCATTTAGCGTGTCATTTGAAGAATGTTGCTCACATCACAGCTGCAAATGTTGCTTATATCATCACAGCTGCAGAATGTTGCTTACATCACAGCTGCAAAATATTGCTTATATCATCACAGCTGCAGAATGTTGCTTACATCACAGCTGCAAGTGTCTTCCCAGCTGTTCTGTCTCATGCCAGTTATGCTGCATGTGTCTGCAGTGTGTTCTACCCATTTTTCTGCTGATCTCCTCTTACATGAGTTAGCCCTTCCATTTATGTTAGTTCTTGGCTGCTGTGACATTTAATATAACCAGTTCAGTTTGTGAGATATGATGCTGTTTGTGAGATATGATGCTGTTTGTGAGATGTAATGCTGTTTGTGAGATGTAATGCTGTTTGTGAGATGTAATGCTGTTTGTGAGATATGAGGCTGTTTGTGAGATATGATGCTGTTTGTGAGATATGATGCTGTTTGTGAGATGTGAGGCTGTTTGTTAACTATGAAGCCCAGTATTGGAAGTTTGTGACAGCTTTAAAATCTTTATTGTTGGTTGTTATTGTTAATTGGAATGAAGTTTTGTCTGAAAATTATTGCTGTGCTCAGAGTTGTAAGCACATCAGAATCATTGCTGAAGCCACACTTAAGGTTGCTGAGGCACAGAACCGCACATCGTGGTGCGCCAGGTCCGCGGCTAACCAGGTCATGACCTATCTACATCAATCAAGGGTAATCTTAGAAAACAGGATCTTTACTAGGAGCCTGACCACCATGTATGGAATCGACATTTCCTTCTACATCAGAGTGCATCTGCTTAAAAGTATGTTCTTGACTACCAGGGGTCTAGAGATGTGTACTGGAGCCACACCACCTCCATTACATTTGTTGTGATAGTACACCAGGTTTTTGGGGCTTACTGGCACAACCTTATTCTTGTGTCTCTGAAGGACTAACTAGTCGGCAGCAGAAGATTATGTCAACTCTTATCAAACATGTCCATCCTCTCCATCCTACAGGCAAGCGTCCATTCGGTGTGTCCATCCTCTACATGGGCTGGGACAAGCACTACGGCTTTCAACTGTACCAGAGTGACCCAAGTGGCAACTATGGAGGCTGGAAGGCAACATGTATTGGAAACAACAGTGCCGTAAGGGTCTTTTACACTCACATAACATTTGTCAGGCATGCCTTATTGTACAGAGACATGTTTATACAGGATATGAACCTATGTCCTGCAGGTATGATAGCTGCTGGCTCTTCTGTGTTACCTCCCTTGGTCACATACTGCTTGCCACATATTTGATAGACTCGTGGACAGTTGATGTATGCCCAGAACATTTCCACAGACCCAGCTTTGTTTGGCATATACTGGGAGCCCAGGTCAAGCTCTAGAAATGTCTTAAAGGACAACACATGTAATGTCTGTCTTTGATGTGCAGTACCATGACAGTCTTGACTACCCAGAACATTTCCACTTACCCAGCTATAATTCGGTTATACAGAGCCTAGGTTACGTTCTAGAAATGTCTCAACAGAGAACACATGTCCTGTCTGTCTTTGATGTACAGTGCCACTGTGTATAACAGATAATTGATGTCTGTTTGTCAGCCACATATTTTGAGGGACTTTATTGTATTCCTGCCACAGAATGCCATTTCCCTGCTGAAACAAGAGTACAAGGATGAAGATTCTCTGAAACTGACCAATGCTCTAGATCTGGCCATCAAAGTTCTCAGCAAAACTCTGGACATGACCAAGTTGACCGCTGACAAAGGTAAGATATGACACAGGGACAACCAGTCGCTGCAGGCTAATGCCTGATTGATGGTTTCAGTAAGGGTATCCCACACATTCACTGATTTCTCTCCACTGCATGCATCATCCTCATCATGTAGCAGATCCTTTGCAGAATGTCGCTCTTATCACAGTCTGCCTGAAAGAAACTCGGTCTCTCGCCAGTTCTCCCCCCTATGTTCTTTCACACTCAAGGAGTCACTTATATCCTGTGCCTTTCTTCGTGTCGGTCGGCCCCTGCCCCTCCTTCCTGGTACCATGCCTTCTGCTATAATTTTTTCCAAATCCGTCTTGGCATTTGATATGACCAAAATATTTCAGCTTCTGAGACAGGATGCTGTTTATTAGCCAATCTTCCTTGATGTTCAGATCTTTCAAGATGTCAGTTTGTCTCATCTTCTTTGTTCAAGATATAATGTGAATCTTTCTTTAGCATTTCAGCACAAAAACCCCTATTTTCTTTCTTAAGGACTGAGAGATAGTCCACAACTCACATCCGTTTGTAGCCACAGTGAAGATGCATGCTCTCAAAATTCTAATTTTGATCTCCTTGCTGGTGCTGAACCATAGACTTTTTAGGCTGTTCAATCCACTGCATTCAGACAAGCAATATTGCCAAGACTCTGTTCTCATCAGGTGTTCAGTGTTGGTGAGAGGTTCGTTTAGTTTGCCTAGGTTTCAGAACATAAACTTTCAGATAAACAAACTTTTTTTTCCTTATGCATTTATCTCAGCACATAATACATTGTGTCCATTTACACCTTATCTGTGATTGGTGAGCCTTTTGGCTGGTATATCGGCTTCTGCAGGCATTTGTTGCCCAGGTTAACCTTCCCAGACAAAATGACATTTGAAGACATCCAGGTTTTTGCCAGAAATTATTGCATTAGTAGATTGTTTTTTGTGTGTGTGTTCACTTCATAGATGTTTTTTTGTTTGTTCACTTCAAGAGATGTTGGTTGTATCTCTCTTTTAGCTAGACCTATGTTTGTGTTCAGTTCAAGATTTGTAGATTGTATTATTTCTCTCTCTCTGAGTGAGACTTATTTGTTGTGTATTCTAGAGCCATCTTTTGGTGGCAGACATTTGGGTGTTGTAGGTTCATTTTTCTGTGTGAATTCAAGCTGCTGTTTTCAGCAGTGTTCAGATACAGAATGAATGGTTTCCACTATTTCTGTTATAATTATTGTTATATTCCTCTACATGTATCAGCTCCCTTTCACATTCTATCATGTAGGCTCCTTTTCCATCGAAATAGTCCAGTCATCTGTTGTAAACCAATTATGTGTGAGTAGATCAGTTGTCTGTATAACCTATTTATCTGTGTGAGAATGTCAGTTACCTACATAACCACCAGTTACAGGTGAGTAGATCAGTTGTCTGTATAACCTATTTATCTGTGTGAGAATGTCAGTTACCTACATAACCACCAGTTACAGGTGAGTAGATCAGATGTCTGTATAACTTATCTGTGTGAGAATGTCAGTTACCTACATAACCACCAGTTATATGTGAGTAGATCAGTTGTCAGTATAACTCATCTGGGTGAGAATGTCAGTTACCTACATAACCACCAGTTATATGTGAGTAGATTACTTATTTCTGAGGAGATCAGTTATCTGTATAATTCATTTATCTCTAGAGGTTGATTATATCACACAGTATATGGAAAAAAACCACTAACTGTATTTGGTGTGAAGGGTGGAGACTTCAGGGCAAAGTGAATGGTGATTTCCTTCTGTCAACTGATATATCTATATTAATAAAAATGTAAATTTTCGTTGGTTGTAATAGCTAATCTCCTAAAGTTCTTCACCACTTGCTTTCAAAATTGTACACAATGTTGTATTTGACTGTGCTCGTTTTTATATGAGTGTTGCACGTACTTCATAGCTACAACTACTATCACATCGGTTTTTTGTTTCGTTGCCGGCCCGAAATTGTTTTTAGTTCCGCTGGTGGGCGACCTTCGACTGTTGACCTCGGACCTATTTGTTAATTTTAGTCTGGGTGGACACAGATGCCAAGGTCAATTAAAAATTGTCAGATTTAAATCTTTCGGAGAGGAATAGTCGGTGAATTTGGGGGGGGGGGGGGGGGGGGTTTGATGACAGTCACTGTTAACTGAAAAAGTTTAAAACGTTATTTCAATTGAGCTTTAAAACATTATTTATATTTTAACAACGCTTCCTCAGCTATTCTTATGTATTTTTTGTATGTGTGTTTGTCTTTTCCATTTCGCCAGACGGAGCCACAGCGTGGTGGGTACTGCTAGTATATATATATATATATATATATATATATATATATATATATATGTGTGTGTGTGTGTGTGTGTGTATGTAAATATATATGTATGTGTATTTACACACACACATATATATATCTTCACTTGTGACTCTTCAAGTATGAAGATAATGCTAGGCAGGCTATTGAAACTTTGTAATTATATTGTTCTTTGTAAAGGCCATGTTAACCTTCAAATGTGAAATGGAACGGTCAAAGTTTTCATAGACACTGACGTGTGTATGGTCCAGTTGTTCCTGTGAGAAATCCAGTAATCAGAGAAGTTGATTTATCCATTATTTTGTTCTGTGATCTAAATATGAAAGTATATTTATCAGGCAGAAAGTTCAAATAATGACAGTTTTGTTGTGTGTACGACAGTATCTTTGACAGACAGACAGTTCAGATGATGGAAGTGTTGTTCTATGATCTGCGTATGCCAGATATTTAACAGGCAGACAGTTTAATTGATGATATTATTGTTGCCACAGTGGAGATTGCTACACTGACACGGAAAGACAACAAGACGATTGTGCATATTCTTCAAGACAGTGAGGTGGATGTTCATATCAAGAAATATGAAGAAGAGGAAGCACGACTGGAAGCAGAGAAGAAGAAAGAGGCAGACAAGAAAAAATCAGGTACAGTTTTGGAGAAGTTAAGTTTTATTGATGGGTAGCCATAGGTCATTTTCTGATCCATGTGTCACACACAAGATGACCAACAAAGAGGATATACTTGACACCCGCGCAGAATAAGACTTTGTTAAAACATTAGTGTTGTCATCGATAGAACTGGACGTAATCTAGTGAATATGAAGGTGAGTAAAAACACTGGTGCTAAATAAAACAAGTGGGGGGGGGGGGGGGGTGTTATTCTGTTGGTTCCCACATGTTAAAACTTTTCAAATATCCAGAGAGCACATTATTTTCAGTACATGAAATGTTAGAACATAATTAACTCACAAACTTAAGAGATATAAATGGGACGTATGGGGCCAGGTAGAAATTAGATGGATAGGAATATGTGAAACCACAACAGAAGAAGGACATTAAATTTGGTTCTTCTTCTTCTGCCTTTCTATCCCCCGATGGAGCATAGGCCCTCAACCAACTCACGCCAAGTCGTTCTATCCTTCGCCGTTGCATGGAGCTCTCCGCATGTCCTCCCAATCATTCTAACCTCGTTCTCCAGCTCTCTTCTCCATGTGTTTTTTGGCTCTCCTTTATTCCTATGCCCCTGTGGGTTCCAATGCAAAGACATTCTAGTAATGCTGTTCTCCTGTTTTCTCAGTGTGTGCCCTATCCAACGCAAGCGTCTTTTCCTCACTTCCTGATCCACTGGAGCCTGTTTAGTTCTCTCCCAAAGTTCTACATTAGATATTCTATCATACCATTTTATTCCCTCTATTCTGCGCAGGCACCAGTTAATGAATGTCTGTAATTTATTAGTAATTGCCTTGGTTGTTCTCCATGTTTCCGCCTCATACAATAGTACTGATTTGACATTAGAATTAAAAATTTTTAGTTTGGTATTCCTTTTAATTTCTTTTGACCTCCAACAGAAGAAGGACATTAAATTTGGTTCAGCGGAGAGGAAACCCAACATCAGCAGAGAGTTGGTTTTATTGTTTTAAAAACAGAACAAATGTTATGTTAGCTTGAACATAATGAACTGATTTTTTTTACCTTCTTGATGTGAGAAGAGGTTAAGAGCAGGATAGGTCAAGCATCTGCAGCATTTGATAATCAAGAATGAAATAGCCAACAATCATGGACTACGGTACTGATCAACGTTCAGAGGATGAACAGTGTCTTCAGTAATGTCATTTCCAATGAGTTAGTAACCGATCATGACTCTTGTATGCCACTTGACATCCTCAGAGGTTGAACAGAAAGGAGGAACTTTAGTAACTGATCATGGCTCTTGTATGCCACTTGACATCCTCGAGATCGAAGAGAAAGGAAGGAGGAACTTTAGTAGCTGATCATGACTCTTGTATGCCACTTGACATCCTCAGAGGTTGAAGTGAAAGGCAGGAAGGCTCATGTATGCCAGTAACTGTGCTGCTTCACATCTGCTGCAAATGTAACTAACTTTCTTCTATTTTCTTCTTCCTCAGAATCAAGTGGCAAGTAAACATGTCTGCTTTCAGCCCCTGTATTTCCTGGTACTGTTATATGATTTCAGGTGTTTTTTTTTTCTCCATAGTTCATTTGTTCCATCTTGTGTGAATTGTAAGGCCTGTTTATGAGTGTGTGCTTATCTCATTGAGTATGATTGTGAAATGTTAAGAAAATAAATTTTTATTTGTTGCCCTCACTTGTGTTCTAACAAATTTGTACAATGAAAGTCTCTGTGTCTGCTGCCTCTAAGACTGTGCTAACCTTAGATCTATGGTGTACAAGGAAAGTCTATGTGTCTGCTGGCCCCTGAGACTGTGCTAACCATAGATCTATGGTGTACAATGAAAGTCTATGTATGTGCTGTCCCCTGAGACTGTGCTAACCATAGATCTATGGTATACAATGAAAGTCTGTGTGTCTGCTGGCCCCTGAGACTGTGCTAACCTTAGATCTATGGTGTACATTGAAAGTCTATGTGTCTGCTGGCCCCTGAGACTGTGCTAACCATAGATCTATGGTGTACAATGAAAGTCTATGTGTCTGCTGGCCCCTGAGACTGTGCTAACCATGGATCTATGGTGTACAATGAAATTTTATGTGTCTGCTGTCCCCTGAGACTGTGCTAACCATAGATCTATGGTGTACAATGAAAGTCTATGTGTCTGCTGTCCCCTGAGACTGTGCTAACCATAGATCTATGGTATAAAATGAAAGTCTATGTGTCTGCTGGCCCCTGAGACTGCTAACCATGGATCTATGGTGTACAATGAAAGTCTATGTGTCTGCTGGTCCCTGAGCCAACATTTGTAATCTATTGCTGGAATTACTTTTCATAGTTTATTAACGCAGCATTCACGACAAACCAATAGGTGCACATGCATAACTGCATATGGCACACTATCATTTTTGTAGTAACCAACCACTTGCCATGTGCAGTTTACAGCATATCTTTGGAATCATGGACAATAAGCATTTTTCATGAAATTCACAGTGTTGCACTACGCACTCAACTAAGTAGCTGCCTGCCAGAAATGGATTTTACCTTTACTTCGTTTGTCACATCCAGTTTGTTGCTGGGTGATGGACCCAGCCTTCCACTGGATGACTTGGTCTACCACATACGGCTGAGGTAGTCTTGAGCAAGAAATGCATTTTCCCTGTTCAGTGAACATACCACATAACAAACGATGTCAAATACATCCCTCACTCCAGTGCAAACCTATCGCGTGTGAACATCATCACTGCACACTGTCACACCAAACTCTCTTGTACTGCTTTCATCACTTTTATTTATTTCATTGGTATACAATTACTTTCCAAAATTCACACTAGTTTTATACATGTGTGTGTACGGGTGTGTGCGCGCCCGTACCACATACCACAAGAAGTGATGAGTAAATAATAACAACAAATAAGTCAGATAACATTAAATCAGCAATTAAAAAGGAGAAAGAATAATAGACAGTCAATGTGGAACTAAATCTTCAACAAAACAAGCATGTGTACCATGTTTGATGTCATGAGGAGATGTCAGGTGACAAGTGAAATTAAAATGCCCTGGGAGTTTTTTTTTTTTTTTAACATAAAAAGGGTGCTAACTGTTGGAAGCCTGCTATTCTAGAACATATACTGGTTGCAAGAAGTATTTTCATGTAAAATAAAAAAGTTAGTTGTGTAATCTTCACCGGACTTTGCAGAACCAACCTCAGCATTTTGTTGACTGTTTGTGGTTGTATCAGAACCAACCTCAGCATTTTGTTGACTGTTTGTGGTTGTATCAAGACCAACCTCAGCATTTTGTTGACTGTTTGTGGTTGTATCAGGCAATTTTACTCCCAGTAGTTTCCCCATGTTAACTAATGGTTAACGCCCCACACCGCTGTCAAACATCAACACAGAGAGGTCTTAATATGAAACTTAGTGCAATCAAACTGTTGCAACAGAAGACATTTTAGAGATTAACAGCTCTGTAGAACTGTGAGGACAGGATAAGTGCCACAGCACAAGAACAACAACCCACAGAAAATAAATATTGCACAGTAACTTAGTATTCAACTATACATTTGCAAACTGGAATAACACAAAATGAAAAACATTTATCTTAAAGACATGCTTGTATAAATAAACACTGCGAAATAGAAAAGTATGTTAGAAAGATATCCACATTCATTATCTCCAACATTCGACAGCTGAATAAAAGGAAAAAAAAACCTTAAGACACAATGTATGCCCGTTCATATCTGACCCAGGCACCTAGAAGAGCTGAGAGAGAGACTATTATTGTCAATACTTCACCTAATGTAACATAAGGTCATTTGACTAAGAGACAGTTTATAAATGAATTAAATCAGCGTTCTTGTTCTCCACTTTGGTGTCTGCTTCAAATCTTGGAACCAAGAGTACGGTATTCTACAGCTATGACTAGCCATCAAAGTTGTTACCGACCTTCCCCCTCACCCCCAGACCGGTAACCTTGAACAGCGATCCCGCCAAAGGTTGTTTCTGGAACTCGGCCTCTGGCATGCGGTATCTGCCGGAAGTGACGTAGAGCTCATCCAGGTTCTTGCCTCCAAAACAACAAGAGGTGATGTTTGTTGCCGGGAACGTCAGGGTCTGCAGTGTCTTTCCTGTCATGAATTAGGTAACAGTCAAACAAGTGTCCGCTGTGGTCCCAATTACGTCTTTTGATTATGTAAGAGCAGCAATCCTCCGAATTACGATCCCAAATTATCGAGGCCGAAAATATACCCTAACAGGGCCTCGGTCACATGTAAATTGCGATCCTCTTTCGGGCGACTATACCGCCACCGCCGAGATAATCTCCCGCGCAGCTACGCGCGGCGGGGAGTGGGGCTAAATTAGATGGCTGGGACTCAACGAGCAAATAAAATGAAGGGAGATGCGGTAGCTGCTGCTCTAAGTCCCAGCCATCTAGTTTAGCCGCGCATAGTGGCATGGGAGATACTATCGGGGTTGACTTTAACTCGGCGGAAGCTTTTCCGCAGTATGCTGTGTAGTAGCCCGAAAGAGGTTCGCAATTTACAAATGACTGAGGCCCTGTTGGGGTATATTTTCGGCCTCGATAAGTTAAGACCGTTTTTGGGAGGATAGCCGTAAAAGCTGATATGTAATAAAAGCAAAATTATTAAAACAGTTCTTTTATATTTATGGTGTCCCCCTTCCTCGTCTTTAGTTGACTTGAAATCACCATCATCATCATCACGAAGCAGGTCCTTTGCAGAACGTCGGTCTCATCACAGTCTGCCTGAAAGAAACTCGGTCTCTCTCCCGCCTCATGATCTATATCTGCAATGTTATAACTGTATACACAAAGGAGCTGAATGGTCGTAGACCACGAGGCAGACCAAGAAGACGATGGGGAGATAGCGTCAATTAGACCTGCACATACTTGGTATCACCAACTGGAAAGAGAAGGCCACCCAGAGAGTTGGGTGGAGGCAGGTGATATTTGCAGCAATGAACCTTAAGGGTTCGGAACGCCGAAGAAAAAGAATATTTCGCTGTGGTAGGGGATAGAAATTACATATGTTATATGGTACAAATATTTAAAAAAAATTGATAAAATAGAGCGATATGACACTAGACTTTTGTGAGTTATAAATTAGAATATAGGAAGAGAATGGTATTCATTGATGTTGTTGATTAAGATGGAAAGTATGTATGTTATATAGAAAAATATGTCAATCTCTCTGGGGTCTGTTGTGGTGTCAACTGTTAGCTGATGAGCATCGGTTATGGAAGAATATAATAGGCCGCGACAAGCGGTCATCTGCAAGCATGTCGTGAAGGAAGGGGTGCAGTCACCATCGGGGTCTTCTGGTACTTTGTGCAAGGCTCTTGGTGGACGGCTAGTCGTCTTGTGGAGAGAGACCGAGCTACGTGGTGTAACGAAGTCTCGACCCTCTGGACTTGGCTCTGCCATACAGGATATCCTTGTTTGCCTCACCCTCAACCTGTATTACAGAGTCTCTTCTTTGGTGTTGTAAAGGTGCTAATTATAGGAAGAGAATAAGGGGTTTGATTGGTTAGTGGAATTAGGCAAGTGCCCAGGTTGCAAGGCACAAGGTCTGCATGGGGAAAAAGAACACGAGATTTGGTGAGTTTGCTTGGGAAACTTGTATGAGGGAGACTGAGTACGGAGGAGACACATTATAGGTGCCATCTTAATTTCCCGTAACTCCGCTCCAAGCATTATCCTGACATGACTGAGCTAAAGGCACACACAAACCTAGCTAACATTGGTTACATACGAGAAGATGGACTATACGTTACCTGTCTGTGGGTCGATCCTGCGGACACAGCTACCGCGGTAGAATGCCACCCAGAGCTTGTCTTCAGCGTCTACACACATCCCATCAGGTACTGCTCCCGAGTTATCATCGAACGAAGCAATAGTCCTTTGATTGCCTGGTTTCAAAAAATTATATCGTAAGAGAAACAAGACAGTGTCAGTAGAGACAGCAGAGACATGACTATGTCAGTAGAAACAGCAGAGACACAGGACAGTGTCAGTAGAGACAGCAGACACATGACAGTGTCAGTAGAGACAGCGGAGACACATGACAGTGTCAGAAGAGACAGCAGAAACACATGACAGTGTCAGTAGAGACAGCAGAGACAAATGATAGTAGAGACAGCAGAGACACATGACAGTGTCAGTAGAGACAGCAGAGACACATGACAGTGTCAGTAGAAACAACAGAGACACATGACAGTGTCAGTTAGGACAGCAGAGACAAATGATATTAGAGACAGCAGAGACACATGACAGTGTCAGTAGAGACAGCAGAGACACATGACAGTGTCAGTAGAGACAGCAGAGACAAATGATAGTAGAGACAGCAGAGACACATGACAGTGTCAGTAGAGACAGCAGAGACACATGACAGTGTCAGTAGAGACAGCATAGACAAATGATAGTAGAAACAGCAGAGACAAATGACAGTGTCAGTAGAGACAGCAGAGATACATGCCAGTGTCAGTAGAGACAGCAGAGACACATGACAGTGTCAGTAGAAACAGCAGAAACACATGCCAGTGTCAGTAGAGACAGCAGAGACACATGACAGTGTCAGTAGAGACAGCAGAGACAAATGATAATAGAGACAGCAGAGACAAATAATAGTAGAGACACAAGACAGTGTCAATAGAGACAGCAGAGACACATGACAGTGTCAGTAGAGACAGCAGAGACACATGACAGTGTCAGTAGAGACAGCAGAGACAAATGATAATAGAGACAGCAGAGACAAATAATAGTAGAGACACAAGACTGTGTCAGTAGAGACAGCAGAGACATATGACAGTGTCAGTAGAGACAGCAGAGACACATGACAGTGTCGGTGGAGACCGCAGAGACACATGACAGTGTCAGTAGAGACAACAGATACACATGACAGTGTCGGTGGAGACAGCAGAGACACATGACAGTATCGGTAGAGACAACAGAGACACATGACAGTGTCAGTAGAGACAGCAGAGACACATGACAGTGTCAGTAGAGACACAAGACAGTGTCAGTAGAGACAGCAGAGACACATGACAGTGTCAGTAGAGACAGCAGAGACACATAAAAGTGTCAGCAAAAACAGCAGAGGCATATGACAGTGTTGGTAGAAACAGCAGAGACACCTGACAGTGTCAGTAGAGACAGCAGAGACACATGACAGTGTCAGTAAAGACACAAGACAGTATCAGTAGATACAAAAGAGACAAATGATAGTAGCAAAATCAGAGACACATGACAGTGTCTGTAGAGACAGCAGAGACACATGACAGTGTCAGTAGAGACAGCAGAGACACATGACAGTGTCAGTAGAGACAGCAGAGACACAAGACAGTGTCCGTGAAGACAGCAGAGACACATGACAGTGTCGGTGGAGACCGCAGAGACACATGACAGTATCGGTAGAGACAACAGAGACACATGACAGTATCGGTAGAGACAACAGAGACACATGACAGTATCGGTAGTGACAACAGAAACACAGGACAGTGTCAGTAGAGACAGCAGAGACACATGACAATGTCGGTGGAGACAGCAGAGACACATGACAGTATCGGTAGAGACAACAGAGACACATGACAGTATCAGTAGAGACAGCAGAGACACATGACAGTGTCAGTAGAGACAGCAGAGACACATTACAGTGTCAGTAGAGACAGCAGAGACACATGACAGTGTCAGTAGAGACAGCAGAGACATAGGACAGTGTCAGTAGAGACAGCAGAGACACATGAAAGTGTCAGTAGAGACAGCAGAGACACATGACAGTGTCAGCAAAAACAGCAGAGGCACATCACAGTGTTGGCGGAGACAGCAGAGACACATGACAGTGTCAGTAGAGACAGCAGAGACACATGACAGTGTCAGTAAAGACACAAGACAGTATCAGTAGACACAAAAGAGACAAATGATAGTAGCAAAATCAGAGATAGAGGACAGTGTCTGTAGAGACAGCAGAGACACATGGCAGTGTCAGTAGAGACAGCAGAGACACATGACAGTGCGAATAAGAAAATGAAGAAGAGGAACATGATGATAATGATGATGAGGAAGAAAAAGAAGAAGAAATGAGGAGGGGAACAAAGGAAGTGGGAGATAAATCTTCTTTAACAAGACAGGTACGTCATGAGAACGCGTTGACGCATGTACAATTAATGGAACTAGAGGGGCAGGTCGTCCGTTTTCTTGCCTTCATGTCCAGAAAAAAGACAGCACTTCTGGTCAACTCGTGTACACTCCTATGATCATTACAACTAAGTCTAAACTAACTCCGTGTATTCACTTATCGTTCCGTTATAATTACAACTAACTGCGTGTACTCACTGATAGCTCCATTGCTCAAATCGAAATCGAAAGCTACAACTTTGAGAGTCGGGGAGTCGATGTAGTACATGACCCTGTTGTCCACGGACCAGTCCATGCCGTTGCTGATGCCCAGCTGGTTCAAGTGACTTGACAACGTGTGATCTGCGGACAGGCTGTACAAGGATCCTAGACCCAGCGATGGCTTGCCGTCTTCACTCACTGGTCCCATGGTTCCTGAAGAACATTGGCGCATTAATTCAAACTGACTGGAGCCTAACATCAAGGAAGCCTACACTTTCAAGTGGTCAAGATGTCACAACTTCTATTTTTGCTTTATTTACCTTGATTCTGAGATAGTTAAACAATTAAAAAACATATAAAAGATACTTCAACAACACTTAAGAGTACACATCACAAAGGGCGGGAAACATACCAAGCAACTACGTCAAGCATGGCCATGGAGATAAGCTCTACAGCACTAGCATGGACAGTAGAACAAGCAGTCACACATGGGGTAATTGTTTCAGACTCCATGAACACGCTTCAGAGAATAGCACCAGGTAGCGTGCGCTCTGAATGGGTAGAAAGCTTTCAGAAATCTTACATAACCTCCCTCTCTGGATCTACACACCTAATCATGCCGGCGTGAAAGTTAACAAACGAGCGGATTAACTGGCAAGCAATGCACCAAGGCATTTCGGGAAAACATGGACATATCAGATATCACAACGCTGTACGGACTAGGTTAGTTGATAATGACGAATCTCTGACATTAACTTGATTTCGTGACATGAGAGTAACGCATGGCGAAAAGCGTCTATGCCACCTTTGAGGCTGAGACAAGAGGCACTATAAATAACTTCCCATGGAAGCCGCCATTAGAGGTCCACTAGAGTATCTCCTGTATCAGAGCAACGAGCGGGCAAAGGCGTGTCCAATGTGCAGTGGCGTCGACCCTGACCACACGACTACAGAATAGAAACTGAAAACAACCAAGAAGTACTTATGTGATCTTGTTTAACACCTGACCACAAACTTTTTTGGGCTTCGGATTTGTGTCCGGTGAATTTGGAAAAACAGTTGTCCTTGGCTCCAATGCAGTGTTGCCACTTTGGATGTTTTATATCCAGATTAAGATGTTTTCTCTTTGCATTTAGATGGCGTTTTTGACTTTAGATGGTAACTGTTTTTCTAGATTTTTTTTAATTTGGAGTGAATTTATCAAATCTAACCTAAGAAACAGGATGAGATTTGACCTCTTAAATGCTTTCTTGACAATACAATTCGGCCTGATAAGAGTAGGAAAAAGCTGTTCCACTTATCAGCTCCCTGGTTAGGTATTAAAAGAAATTGGAGCAGCAAAAGCATACCAGAGTCATTTTGGATCTGATGCTTCAACTTCATTATCCAAGCTAAGTTTATCCTGTGGATCTTGTGAAGCGGACTAGGAAAGATGAGGACATGATTCTATAGGGTAAGTCATATCAATTGCTATGTAATTTGTGACTCTTTCCGTTTGGATGTTTTTTCTAGATGTTTTCCATGCAAATCTAGATGTTTTTAGATATATTTTGACTCCGTTTTGAATTTTTTTTGTCAAAGAGAAGTGGCAACACTGCTCCAATGTCGACCAAGCCCAAAATGGGTATCAGGTAATGTTCTGGTGTCGGTATATGTGGCTTAGGCGTAATTCCAAGTTGCTGGGTTCGATTCTAGCTGCGGGTGATTTGGCAGCAGACTGCTGTAGGTTGGTTAGAGAGTGGTAACGAGAGTCAACCGTTCTGTAACAGTGGCAAACTACTGAGCGTAAAATCGCCCAGTAAAATCACAAACAGCTAAACAGTTGTGGTGTTGGTTCCGCAACATCATGTAAGGATATCCAACTAACAAATACAAAATGTCATGGGAAGTAAAGGAGGACGGTGTGAACACTACAGGTGCTAAGTCAGTTCTATAAAATAGTGTTAAGCATCACATATCCCGTGTGCTACCGGCGTAACCAAGTGATGTATTTGACTCTGTATAAACTGGTGGGTTGCCGTGGTATTGAAGGGACTAGCCAGTGAGGCAGCTCTTTCGAACTAACATTAGCCCCTATCCTGGCCTAGTCTAACATTGGTTAGAGGAAAGTTTCTGGGAGGTATAAGCGACTGGTGTGGTATGACACTATGACCATATATAGAGACCCACTGATACATACAAATATATGGCTAGCAAGGATCGTACTCTTACACATACTCGTGACCTACTTTCTCCAAGCACAGCCGGATTCAGAATATTTCGTCCTAATCACTTAAAAGATGTTGTCCCCCCCTTCTCTCCCCCGCCCATAGCCGCCTTAACAGAATTAGGGCCCCTGAAGAAACCAGTGTGCTGAGGCCCCTACAAAAACCACTCAAGGAATGAAATGTGGATGGTCACTTGATAGACAGAGATAAACATGGGGTCCGTGTGCTTGTGGGCAAGTGCCCAGTGGGCCCATGTGTTCAGACGGCACTGGTACCCAGTACACTTTACTCACAATATAAACAATAATAAACCATAGAATAAAAGTTTATTGTTTCAAAACTAAACAAAACTTACAGTAAGATGGAAAATAGTATCTATTTTTGTACACGTCTACTTGATTTATATTTGAACAGTTTTTGCCTACTTTATTTTAATTGCAGATCCTGAAAAGTAATCTTATGTAACAGGTATGTTTCTATACTTAATAGAGAGAAGACATTATTTTTCTGATTAGAATTTTTTTTTTTTTTTAATATACAGCAACTGAGAAAATGAACGCTCAGCTCCAAGGCTATTTAGAATTTATGTGATGCCGCTTCCCGCTTTGCTGCCTCGAACACGAGCTTAGTGGTTAATCCTGCCCTGTCACCAGTGCATTACGGTCTTTCTTAACTGTTCATTCTTACCTGCCCAAAGTCTTCCTAGAGCATCACACTTGGCATCATTGAATCGGTTGTTTGTACCAGCCTCCACCTCCACGATCTTCTCAACCGTGGCAGCGTCAAAGTCTAGCACAGCCAGAGATCTGCCCAGTCCAACCACATAACCACCTTTATTGCGGGGAATCACAAACCCGACTGCTTCATCTGCCAGAGAAACAACTTCAGTGAACTTCCACGTTACGATAATTATCTAGGAGATGATGAAGATGGCGATGATGACAATAATGGCAATGATGATGGTGAGTATGCTGATTGGTCGCTTTGTGGCAGGCACAGTCAAGCCTAAGACTTGCTTTAGTAACGCAGAGGCTAAACAGCACCAAGAACACATGGCACAGCACCTACATAAACAGCACCAAGAACACATGGCACAGCACCTACATAAACAGCACCAAGAACACATGGCACAGCACCTACCTACGAGTTTCACAAACAACACCAAGAACACGTGGCACAACACCTACATAAACAGCACCAAGAACACATGGCACAACACCTGCCTACGAGTTTCATAAACAGCACCAAAACACATGGCACCGCACCTACATAAACAGCACCAAGAACACATGGCACCGCACCTACTTACGGGTTTAATAAACAACACCAAGAACACATGGCACAACACCTACATAAACAGCATCAAGAACACATGGCACAACATCTACATAAACAGCACCAAGAACACATGGCACAGCACCTACTTACGAGTTTCATAAACAGCACCAAGAACACATGGCACAACACCTACCTACGAGTTTCATAAACAGCACCAAGAACACATGGCACAACACCTACCTACGAGTTTCATAAACAGCACCAAGAACACATGGCACCGCACCTACATGCCTGTTTAGTAAACAGCACCTTGTCTCGAAAGTTGATGTATTTTGGGCATGTTAAAGCATCGTGGGTTGGCCTGGAGAACACGGTGAAGGGGGGTACCGCTGCTATCTTAGTGTTTAAACCTGTATAATGTTTTAGCACCTGAGACCTTTTGTCTTCACCTCTCAGCAGTCTATGATTGTTTTAAGATCATCATCATCATCAGGACCAGATTTAGACGTGATGAGGTCCTTAGAACATAAAGCCCTGAGGCCCTACTGTTTTGAATGACACCGGCTAATCTCAGAGAACTGTCAAGTATATACACCTTTTCCATATATAGATAATGAAAATATATTGTCGTTTATTATTATTATTTGGGGGGGGGGGGGGGGATAATACACAAATTGTACCTGCAATATTACAGATATTATAATCTATAATCCTCTTGAAGACTTTTAATATAAAATTGCATTTGTGAAAACAAACATTTGAATTTCTGAAGCCCCTGCAGACTGTAAGACTGCAGGTTAGTTAGCCTATGTCTAAATCCAGCACTGATCATCATCATTGTCATCAGCATTACGATCATCATTATCATCATCATCAGCAAAAGCATTATCGTCATCATCACCATCATAATCCTCCTAATTTTCATCGTCACCATCGTTATAATTGTCATCATCATCATCATCATCATCATTGTCATCATTGTCATCATCATTGTCATTGTCATCATTGTCATCATCATCACCATCGTTGTCATCATCATCATCATTATTGTCATCATCAGCATCATCATCATCATTGTCATCATCATCACCATTGTCATCATCAGCATCATCATTGTCATCATCATTGTCATCATCATTGTCATCATCATCATCATTGTCATCATTGTCATCATCATCATCATCGTTGTCATCATCATCATTATTGTCATCATCAGCATCATCATCATTGTCATCATCATCACCATTGTCATCATCAGCATCATCATAGTCATCATCACTGTCATCATCATCATCATCATCGTCATCATTGTCATCATCATCATCATTGTCATCATTGTCATCATCATCACCATTGTCATCATCAGCATCATCATTGTCATCATCATCATCATCATCATCATTATTGTCATCATCGTCATCATTGTCATCATCATTGTCATCATTGTCATCATCATCACTATTCTCATCATCAGCATCATCATCGTCATCATCACTGTCATCATTATCATCGTCATCATTGTCATCATCATTATCATTGTCAACATCATCATCATTGTCATCATTATCATCATCATTGTCATCATCATCATCATTGTCATCATCGGCATTGTCATCATCAGCATCGTCATCATCACTGTCATCATCATCATCGTCATCATCATCATCACCATCGTCATCATTATCATCATCGTCTCATTGTCATCATCATCATCATTGTCATCATCATCATCATTATCATCATCATTGTCATCATCATCATCATTGTCATCATTGTCATCATTGTCATAATCATCATTGTCATCATCGGCATTGTCATCATCATCATCATCATCGTCATCATCACTGTCATCATCATCATAATCATCATCATCATCATTATCGTCATCATCGTCCTCATCGTCACATGCCTTGTGCCAGTATAGTAAAGCATTGATATTTTCCTTCTGACACCCAGAGACACAAAGACCCACTTTACGGATGCCGATCCAGCTTGAACAATTTCCAGACAGCTCGATATATCGTAGAAAACAGATATATTGGAGAAGCTAACATCTACGATAAGTCGAAGGTTGACGTCAGGAGGGTAGCAATAGTAGCTGGAAGAGTTTCGAGAAGGTTGACGTCAGGAGGGTAGCAATAGTAGCTGGAAGAGTTCCGGGAAGGTTGACGTCAGGAGGGTAGCAATAGTAGCTGGAAGAGTTCCGGGAAGGTTGACGTCAGGAGGGTAGCAATAGTAGCTGGAAGAGCTCCGGGAAGGTTGACGTCAGGAGGGTAGCAATAGAAGCTGGATGAGTTCCGGGAAGGTTGACGTCAGGAGGGTAGCAATAGTAGCTGGAAGAGTTCCGGGAAGTTTGACGTCAGGAGGGTAGCAATAGTAGCTGGAAGAGTTCCGGGAAGGTTGACGTCAGGAGGGTAGCAATAGTAGCTGGAAGAATTCCGGGAAGGTTGACGTCAGGAGGGTAGCAATAGTAGCTGGAAGAGTTCCGGGAAGGTTGACGTCAGGAGGGTAGCAATAGTAGCTGGAAGAGTTCCGGGAAGGTTGACGTCAGGAGGGTAGCAATAGTAGCTGGAAGAGTTCCGGGAAGGTTGACGTCAGGAGGGTAGCAATAGTAGCTGGAAGAGTTCCGAGAAGGTTGACGTCAGGAGGGTAGCAATAGTAGCTGGAAGAGTTCCGGGAAGGTTGACGTCAGGAGGGTAGCAATAGTAGCTGGAAGAGTTCCGGGAAGGTTGACGTCAGGAGGGTAGCAATAGTAGCTGGAAGAGTTCCGGGAAGGTTGACGTCAGGAGGGTAGCAATAGTAGCTGGGAGAGTTCCGGGAAGGTTGACGTCAGGAGGGTAGCAATAGTAGCTGGAAGAGTTCCAAAGGGGGGGGGGGGGTGGGGGCTGTATTACCTGAAAGAGGATTTTAGAATATGATTAATTAACTTATTCTCCCTCCCTCCCCCCCCCCCCCCCCCCCAACTCAAAAAGCTGCGCAAATTTTTTTATTTTTTTTGAAAAAAAATATATAACGTCAGTCTAGTTTGTTATCGCCTTTAACTGGACACATAAATCACGTCAGTCGAGTTTGTTATCATTTTTAACTGGACACATAAATCACGTCAGTCGAGTTTGTTATCATTTTTAACTGGACACATAAATCACGTCAGTCGAGTTTGTTATCGCCTTTAACTGGACACATAAATCAAGTTAGAATCTGATTTAAACAAACTTCTTTCAGTAAACGAAATGGGTTTCGCTGCAACGCATCAAAGAACAAATATTCAAACTACTAACCAAGATGGATCTCCGAGTGTTGCTGGGTGCTGGGGTCGTACCGTAGCACCCCTCCATTGAAGATATCCACCAGCACAAGTCTCTGAGAGGAGGTCTCCCAGTGGGGAGCTTCACCGATGGTGCTGAAGCAATTCTTCAGAGCCACCTCTATGTTATACTGACTGGCCATTGTCCTGTGGGCGACAACATCACAGTTAAATAGCTACTGTACCTTATAAGAACACTATTCCCTTATAAAAAGCCAGGTCTGTGTAATATCGACCGGCCATTGTCCTGTGGCCTACGATATAACAGTTCAACAACAAGTGTACCTTATAAGAACACTTAGTTTGAACAACGGATCAACATCATTGCACAAGGATAGTAACCCATAAGTGCTCCGTTCTACTTCTAACTCTAGCCTGAGACTGAAGAATCTCAGCGCAGTGCACGAACTCCGTAGCACCGGCGAGGATCCTGGACTACTTTGGGTAGATTTTTTACTGCAAATTTTTGCCGAGCAGAACACTGCTCCTTTATAAAGGGGCTCTGTATTTCTCAGGGGGGGGGGTGGGGGAGGGGGTGCTATAGAAATAGGCAGGCAGCGCAGTCTGGAAAAATAACTAGATCCCTTTTTGAGAATCAACCCCAGCCCTCTTTGTTGGTGGGTGAGTGCATCACAAAAGTAATAGTGACTTCCAAGAAATGAATAGTGCCTACATGTACAGTAAAAGTCAAGGACATTTGTCTAGGACACGTACCGAAATGTAGGTGTCTACAAGGCACATGGATAACATGCGATAGAAGATGTATCACAGAGACAAAACAAACATTATAGGACAGGCCAAGACGGCCTTTTATAAACTGAAGAATAACTGGTGCAATAAATACATGTCACTGGAGGTTAGGGAAAGAATTCTTGTGTGCCATATAGAGCCAGTTTTCAGATAACGACTGTGAATCATGGACAATTAATAAACAAGCTGAACAATATCTGGAGGCCTCGGTTTTACAGAAGAATCTTTAGAATGACTTGGAAAACTCAGAAGAGTAACCCAGATGTTTTGAAAGAGGCACATGCTCGAAGACAACTTATGATAAACATCAGAAAGAGACAGTTACAATTTTTTGTCGTGTAATGAGAAGAGGGAAACTGGAACATGTTGTAACCATTGGAAAGATCAGTGGAAATAGAGACATCGGAAGACAGCGGAAGGAGATTTTTGACAGCCTTGTGGCATAAAGGGTGCCAACAAACTAACTGATATATGCAGTTACGGATCGCCCTCGCCAGTTGGCAAGGCACTTGATGATAGTTGTCATAGACACATGCCAATTTGACATTTATTTTTCGCTTTAGTAAAGAATCATGTTCACCGGGCGCGGACATTTTGCAAGCGCCTATAAAGATTACACAGACAGAATCTTAACCAAGTGCACGAACTCCGTAGCATTGTGGAGAAATCCACGCTCCGTGAAGCGCTTCCGTCCCTTCTCCAAGAGAGCGACGTTCTGTACAGGACCAGCAAAGCGATGGATGATGGAGTATGACAGAATAAAACAAACTATGCTTTGAATCGCGTCTCCGCCCCCTTTTTTGCTGTCACAAATCAAAAGCATTAACAGTCAGAACCCACCACAAACAACAAAAACTGGGGAGAAGGGGGCAGTGCTGGGCGGTTGCCGTTTGGTTTGACGTCCGAACTTAAACGTTGGGTAACTTGGGGTGCCTTAGGTAGTCGGGATTCTAGCTGTTAAAATGGGGACCGATCCAGCACAAATTATATTATAGTGCAGCGAGAAAATAATAAAAGGGCGCTGGCGATAGATGAGAACAAACATTTTGGAAACAGGATAATAATTTCATTAGAAAATTCTTCTTCTTCTTCTTCTTCTTCTTCTTCTTCTTCTTCTTATTATTATTATTATTATTATTATTACTATTACTATTATGTGCTGAGTGGTAAATAAATACTTTTGAGTTAGTGTTAAATTTTTTTTTAAACTTCAATAAGAAGAGAGCATCTATACATTTTTTTTCTGGAGGTGGGGATCAGCCCTCTAGGAATTATTGAAGTCCTCACACCCCCCCCCCCCCCCCCCCCACTCTTGATGGAAGGGGAACTCGATGTGTCTGATCGCCCTGCATGTGTCTGATCGCCCTGGATGTGTCTGATCGCCCTGGATGTGTCTGATCGCCCTGGATGTGTCTGATCGCCCAGATTGCAGCACCAACTGATATAGAGTGAGCTTCAGTCGAGGGCAGGCAAGTTTGCTTGTGAGCGTTGACTGATGATGACCTAGGCTATATTCAGGGTCAAAGGGCAGAAAAAGACGGGAGAATCCATACTCATGTTACTAAATAAAATCTGAGGAAGATTTTGTGAAGAAACGAAAAAAATTGAAATATGTACTTACGTGTATATGGTTAGAATCGGGCGTTGTCAAATCCCTTTTGACAGAATAATCAACAACTGTATGCTCCTGTATAAAGTTACCACACATGACTCCGCATTCTTTAGACAGGCAACTTTGGTACGCTAAAACAACGTATCTAAAGTTTTGTCAGACGGCTAAACACCTCTTGAAGTATGCCCCAGAAACAGCTGGAAAACGTGTAAACCAGTAGAATCCAGTATCTGGAGCAAATGTGGGAACGCTGTGGCAGCCTGGAAATAAAGAACGGTCACGTGGAGTTGATAAGAACGTTTCAACAATTACCATTTTCTGTATGACTGTGTGTATGTATGTGGGTGTGTGTGTCTGTACTGCACCGAGAAGTGGGTGATTCTCCAACGTTAACTGTCACCGAGTGAACGCTCTGTTTGTGTTTCCATGGACCAGCCGTCTATTCTCTCATCTGAAGCTGCCACTCCTTGCCCCCCCCCCCCTTCCCCTCCCTTCTCCTTTCTTGTGTTACTTGTCAGTGCAATGTGTAATGTGAAGAAGATCAATCTCCTGGGGTCTTGATGTGTGGATATATCTCATGATGGCATTCCCAGCCCCGGATATTTACTGTAGAGTAGGAACAAGTGTTCGGATTGCTGGGTCGTACATTGAACTACACATACACAAATCTTTGCTGGATACAAATCGGCGCGGCACTTCACGGATACGACAGTAGATGTGTGATTTATCGCGCTATCCTGGGGTGAGTGGAGTTAAATGTCTATATATGGCAGTGCTGATCGTGTGGCTGCCTCGTTTCTGTTCACATGCTGATCGTGTGGCTGCCTCGTTTCTGTTCACATGCTGATCGTGTGGCTGCCTTGTTTCTGTTCACATGCTGATATACTCGGGTCTGTGGAACATGCCCCTGTGAGAACCCTGACCTTGAACTCCGCCAGTTCGTGTTTTGGTCTACTTAGTTCTGACAGATAGTCTCACCGTGTTTTTGCCTTGCATGTTATCATGTTTGCTCAGTGAGGTCACTGTGTGTCAGCATACCCGCGTGTACTTGTTCCTTATTCACACAGATATCCAATTTGTATGTTAAAGTTAAATATTACCTTCTTTTTGTATCCAGAGACTATCTTTACGTTCAAACTTCTTGGTAAATAAACATGATTCTGTTACTTCTAGGGGTATATGCCAGGGAAGAGAGGAAGAGGAAGGCCAAAGAGAAGATGGGTGCAGGATGTGGCTGGTGATCTCCAGATGGTGTATAGGACGCGGGACATCTTGCTTGTGATCGAGAAGTTTTCCGGAAGGTTGTGATGTGAGCAAGGTTCTGCAAAGGACAGGCTACTGACTGTCTGACTGACTGTTACTCCTGACACACTACATGCCACGTCAATGGTAAGTAGCCCCGCCCCGTGCAAGAACATCAAAGTTCAAAGTCGATGACACGATAGGTGGACCTGCATGTTGTAGAATAGACACGATGATGACGTTAGCAGTCATGGGTAACTGGGGTTACAAAGCACTACTTTTCTGATGCGGCAGCTTCTGTGCGATGATTTATTACAAACGTTTTGGTGTATTTGGGGGACAGTAAGAGAGCATGTCAAAAATGACCAGACTTGTGACAGTTATGTTCCGCTCAAAATTTGTGGCAACCCTATTCCTCCTTTCGAACTGCGTAAAGGGAATAGAAAAATTAATATTGTCTGTCCAAAAGCACAGTGAAGATCAAAATCTGTTCTTGAATTTGAAGAAAAAGAAAATAATGTCCACAGATAAAACTGGCTGTCACTCAAAAATATCAATAAATGATGAAGGCATTGAAAATGTCACAAACTTTGAATATTTAGGCTCTATAATATTCAGCAATGGAGACTGTTCAACAGAAATTAATAGGAGGATGGCCTTGGCAATGCAAAGATTAAACAGCGTAAAAAGTCTATGATTAAGCACCAGCAAGGAGATTAAAATTATAATTTTGAGAGCATACATCTTCCCTGTGGCTAATTACGGATGTGAATCGTGGACTATCTCTCAGTCCTTAAGAAACAGAATAGGGCCTTTTGAGCTGAAATGCTATTGAAAGATTCTCAGAATATCTTGGACAAAGAAGAGGAGACAAACTGACATCTTGAAAGATCTGAACATCAAGGAAGATTAGCTTATAAACAGCATCCTTTCTCGGAAGCTGAAATATTTTGGTCATATCAAGCGCCACGGTGGTTTGGAAAAAATTATAGCAGAAGGCATGGTACCAGGAAGGAGGGGCAGGGGCCGACCGACTCGAAGATGGGCACAGGATATAAGTGACTCCTTGACTACGAAAGTTCATGAGGCGGGAGAACTGGGGAGAGACCGAGTTTCTTTCAGACAGACTGTGATGAGAGCGACGTTCTGCAAAGGACCTGCTACATGATGATGATGATGAAGAAAGGATGTGAGAGGAACCATGCTACAGGGGCAATACATGGTCTCTACAATACTGCCTAAACTTTGTGCCAAAGAGAGGAGGAACTTCATTCTTGTAATCAATACATGGTCTCTACAATACTGCCTAAACTTTGTGCTAAAGAGAAGAGGAACTTCATTCTTGTAATCAATACATGGTCTCTACAATACTGCCTAAACTTTGTGCTGAAGAGAGGAGGAACTTCATTCTTGTAATCAATACATGGTCTCTACAATACTGCCTAAACTTTGTGCTAAAGAGAGGAAGAACCTTCATTCTTGTAATCAATACATGGTCTCTACAATACTGCCTAAACTTTGTGCTAAAGAGAGGAGGAA